AATCACTTAAGTAATGACTAAAACAAAAGACATGGCCTAGAAGATGTGCACTATTTTACAGGGAATGTAGACTGTGGACTATGGACTTCCAAATGAAGTGTCTTCTGTCTAGATATTCTTCTAGAAAATAACAGTTTTGCCATCTCTTTAATTTTTTTTAAAGATTCTATTTATTTATTTGACAGAGAGAGAGAGAGAGCACAAGCAGGGGGAGTGGGAGAGGGAGAAGCAGACTCCCCGCTGAGCAGGGAGCCCGATGCCCGGCCTGATCCCAGGACCCTGGGATCATGACCTGAGCTGAAGACAGATGCTTAATGACTGAGCCACCCATGTGTCCCTCTGTGATTAATTTTTTCATTATAATCAAAATGTATCAAAGACTTGTTTTTGCTTCCTCTTTTTAAAGAACTTATGATAAAATTTATCCTGAATTTACATCATAAGGATGCTTTTATTCTTTTTTTTTTATTATGTTCAGTTAGCCAACATACAGTACATCATTCATTTTTGATGTTGTGTTCAAGGATGCTTTTATTCTTGATGAAGTAATATCAGAGAGACAGAGATGGAGAGACAGAGGGAGAGAGAGAGGGAGATTTTCCTAAGTATTTTAAGTGTTAATTACATACAAATGTTCCTTTTCAGCATTGAAAATAATTATGCATTAAGAGTGCTCCCATCTATTTATATCTTTGTAATTTTAATTTCTTTAAAAGGAGTATTCCTAGCAGAAATATTAGAATGTAATATATGATGTCAACTACTATTTAGCAATAATAATTTATATACAGCATAACTTGGTATTAGCTCTAAAAGCATTCCCCAAATAACTGGATACTACAAACCCAAGCATGAGCACAACTATTTTAAAAATATTACGTATCTAGTGCTGCTAGTTTCTGTTTTGTTTGCTTGTTATGTATGTGCAAAAGTGTCTACATATATGTTGATTGTCTGCCAATGCTTGGCTCTGTTAAAAGCATTGGAGATAGAGAAGTAAACGAAACAGCTACAAATCCCTGCCCTCATGGAGCTCACATTCCGCAGGGAAGACTACTCGAGTGCACCAAGTTATGGCTGCCTTTCAGGAGAGGCTGAATATTATCTGACACCAAATGTTATGCTGAAGCCACCATGAGATGTGTCCTTTTGGAAAATAACTTTTCTCCCTTCACAGTCCTACATTGGCCCTCTTCATTTTTCAATAAATGGTGGGTGGAATAGCCCTGGGCCTGTGGATAAACCATTGACTTCTATGTTTCAATTTGCATCTGCAAAAACTATTACACTGTGCAATTGCTAAGGTTGCATATTAAAACATTCTTGACTTTCTAACTTTGGAATTATATGCTACTTTCCTGAAAGTAAGGATTCAACCTTTATTCTTTTTAGAAATCTCTAAAATGCGATGGATTTGGATGACCTGACTAGCTACAAGAAGCCTGTCCCTTCTTCACTTTCTACCATCACATTCAGTGGGACATTACAGAAGTTGTGTACATTCTTGAATAGAGTGGGTTTGCCAGATAGAAGGGGGAAATTTGAGGTTGAGTTTACATGAACCACTGTGCTCCTTTTTCATCTCACTCAAATATATTTCTTACCTTCTTCAGTGGAATGGTTGTGTTGAATATGTCATTGTGCTTTATAATCTCAGTTAGTGCCTCTTTCAGTATCATCCACAATGAAGGAGAGTGTAAAAATGTTCCTTACTGTGCAATTTACAACCTTAGCTTCAACTAAGCTATATTTTTTTCATATCTTAGAGGAGGATGAGAGATAGATAGATAGATAGATAGATAGATAGATAGATAGATAGATAATAGAGAGATGATAGAATAAACATACGTCAAAATATTAGCAATAATTTTAATTAAGTGAAGGTTATATAAGAGTTTATTATTGGGGCGCCTGGGTGAGTCAGTCAGTTAAGTGTCTGACTCTTGATTTCGGATCAGGTCATGATCTCAGGGTTGTGGGATTGAGCCCAGCTTGGGGCTCAGCTCGAAGTCTGCTATCCCTCTCCCTCCCCTCGCTCTCTCTCTCTAAAAATGAATAAATATTTTTTTTAAAAAAAGAGTTTATTATCCTATCCTTATAACATTTCTATATTTTTATTTCTCAATATTTTGTTTCTCAGTATTTTTTTCAAAATGTGAAGTATAATTTAAAATTTTTTCTGAGAAATAAATTGTAATGAGTAATAAAACAAAAAGAGGGAAGACATAATAAAAGAGACTGAGAAGCATATCAGATCATGGGAATGTATGAGCCTTATTTGAAATCTGTTTTTTTAATGAAAGAAAAAAGCCTTAGAATTTTAAAAGAAAATAAATCTGTTTTGGACAAACTAGTTTAAACTATTAGATGATTGTAGTTATTTGAACACACTGGATATTTGATGATAGTAAGGAATGATTTTGGTTTCTTCATTGTTGTATATTTGGGTCTGATACTGGTTATGTGATGATACTTGTAAAAAGTCGTATTTTAGATACATTCTGAAAGATTTACAGGTAACATTACATGAACTTGGGAATTTCCTTAAAAATTATCTGAAGTAGAGGAAAGGGTATGAGATAGGATAGATAAGTTGAAATAAGTTGACCCTGAGTTGATAAATTAATGAATCCAGTTGATGGTTATGTGCGGGTTATTATACTATTTCTACTTTTTTTATGTGCTTAAAAGCGTGAACATAGCAAAATGCTGTGAGCCAGATTATTTTGGTTCAAATATGGGCTGCACATTTTTTCATTATACATCCTTGAGCTAATTATTTAACTTTCTTGTACTTTGGTACCTTCACCTGTAAAATGAGAAAATGTTTAAACTACACATCTCTATAATTTTAATCAGGATTAAGTGAGTTAACACATGCACACTCTTAATCAGTGACTGATCCTAAACAAGCACCGAGTAAATGCTCGCTATTGTTTTTGATTTGTTTTTCTCTTCAAATCTAGACTCAGGCTAATATTTTGGAAGTATGCAATTTACCTACAAATTTCAGTTTGCTTTACTTAAAACTACTCCCATTTTTGTGGAAAGAATAAGTAAGAAACAATTATTGCTTCTCTGAGGGAATATCAATCTTAGGAAGAAAAAGTAAACCTATACAATAATAAGAAATAATGAAATACTTTGAGAGAGGAAGTAGCTTAACTGTAATTATAATTAATGAGGAGAATCAACTAGTTTGCAAAGAAATTGCTGTTCAAGAATATTATTTTGAGAGCTAACTCAGCTTTGAGCCAAAAACTATTGCCATTATAATATAACTCATATTGATTGGAATTTTATCTCTGCTTCACACACTTTAGCTATGAAATCATAGTACTTAATTTTTGTTTCATTTAAATTGGCTAATCCACAAAGTATTATTTTAAAGATTTTGTAAGAATTCAGTAATGAGTTCAGTTATATATGACTCATTTTCATCTTTTTAAACAAGCATTTTTTAAACAACATATTGGAAGGAATCAAAAATAATAATAGGAAGTATTTCACAAATCTGCTGAGAAAATTAAATACTGGCAAATTCTGCTGGCAAATTAAATACTGAATAGATAAATCATATATAAATGATTTGAATGATTTTGTAGCTTACCACCTCTGTGCAGCTGATAAAACTAATAGAAAAATGGATCATTGTCTTTACTGTGAGAAACTGCATTATGTATTTTTAGATTATGGCAAGTATATTTATCAGTTACCATAATGTATATTATAAGTTATATATACAGATATGACGAATTTTATGATATGTGTTATGTGCATAAATACATAGTACAATAAAGTAAGGAAAGTCTTATTCATTAAATTACAATTAGTGAACCATGTTTACATTTTGTAGAAGCAATTTAAATATTAAAACTCTGAGTCCTTTTTAGCTTGTGTACTTAGAGAGAGGAGAGTTGCCACTGACATAGAGAGGACTGTGTCATCTCATCTCCATATCCCAGTGCCTGAGAGAATTAGTTTCTTAGAGTAGCACATAAGAGGCCTGAATATGTAGTTAATTTGAATTTTAAAGGAATTGAGTATGAGAGAATCTGTAAGTTAGAAACATAATATATTCTGTGGTAGCAACTGAAATTTTGTCTTCATATCAGCACTTCAGCAAAAGACCTGAACAATGTTTCAATATGTAGAATTTATTTACGTCTAACAACGTTAACATTTAAGGAACCATGAAACAGCAAGCAAATTTAGATTTAAGAAAACCTAAAAGCCACAAACATTTTGCTATTTTGTGTTTCATAAATGAAAGCTAATGATAACTGACTACGTTTTTCATTTTTTTCAGGGGTTTGATTATATAGCCATCTTTATTTACTGTGAGCATGATGAAAGCAATCTGCTTGTATACAGTTTAATCCTTTTCAGTTTAGGTAAATAACTTGCAGAAAAGAATCTCATTTTCTAAAGATGTAGAGAATTTTTAAAAATTCAACTTAAAATGATATGGGTCACTATGAAAACATTAGTCAAATGAAATCTAGTTGGGATGAATAAGTTACTCTCTAGATATTTAAAGAAACAAGCAAACAAAAATACCAAACTTGAATATTTGTGCACCAATATGGGCTTTCTCATGCAGGACACATTTTAGATGTTGTTCAGAATTTACAAGTTTTATGTTAACTAAGCCATTGCCAGAAATCAGCAGTTGAATCAACATAACTATATGATTTTTGTTTTTTTTCTTTGCCAACAGGACACAGGAACTTGTTCAAACAAGGGCTTCTATTTCCTTGTTTGGTTTGCTTCTCCATGTTTTTGCTGTTCTTCCCACCATTTATCTTGGCTTCTTCAGTTAATCTTTTATTCTCTTCAGTTCATAATTTCTTCTGATTTAGCTTTCTGGAATTTGCTTTATTTTTCTTTGTTATATTCTGTTTCTAACTCTAATTATTATGCTAAAGTTGACAACTGTCAGAACAAAGTCAACTCAGGGAAGAACTAATTGCTGCCTTCCTTGAAATTTTATTTTTTAGGATTATGCTGAGAAGGAGAACACCATAGCAAAAGCTCTGGAAGATCTGAAGGCCAATTTTTACTGTGAACTCTGTGACAAGCAGTACCATAAGCATCAAGAGTTTGACAATCACATTAATTCATATGACCACGCTCACAAGCAGGTAGGAAAGAGGTGTCCAAAAAACCCTGATATTTCTGAACTTCTGTACTAAAGTTGTATAAACGATATAAATACAATATTTTTATGTTTTTGTTATGTAATTTTTACAGATGCCATTCTGGGATGATAATTTATGACTTATAGCAAAAGACAGTTTTGTGTTTTTTTTTAAAGCCCTAAAAGTAAAGTCTGAAATAAATAACCAACGCAAAGAAATACCCGTCAGTTGCCTTTTAGTGACTGGCGGTAATTTAAAAATTATATTCTACAGGTGGTGATCCTCTAAATGTCTTCCAATTTATTAATTTTTAAATGTTTTAGGCAACTAATGATATTTATCAAATGTAAATGAACTTATAATTCTTTACAGAAACCATTTCCCATTTAAACCCCCATAAAAATAGGAAGAAAAGCTAATTTAATATGGTAAAAATAATCCATAGTTATTGGTTAAATACTTAATATGTGTATGATATAGTCTATTTTAATATTATTTTCATTTTGCTATCAATTGTAAATCCAAGATTGATTTTCAACACTCTGTGTAAAGATGAGTTTAAAGCAGTGATGTCAGAAGTGAAGTTAATAATACAGATTCCATTTTCTCATATGCTTTACATTTATCAGAGCAACTTCTTACATTGTTTAGCTAGCTTGATATGATACAGCAATTTTAGTTATCACTAATTTATATTTTCTTTTCTTAGCCATCACTTACAAATATCATCTACATAGCATTTTGGTATTAATAAAAGGTATATTTTTAACCCATGAATTTGCCCTAACTTTCCATTAACATTAGAGTTATTTAGCATAAGAAAGAATAGGGGAAAATGATTATGTTGAGTGCTTATGAATCAATTGTATGTATTTTCTTTTGCTGTCAATCCTTCCATTCTTTCACACCAAAAAGCTATGCTTGAGGAGGCTGTTGTACAGAGAACATGAGCCTTTATTTATATACATCACTAATGAATGCATACTGGTCTTGATGATCTGCCCTTGCCTTTCCTTTTCCAGGTCTACTTGCATACTAGGTAAGGGAAAATTTTTGATGGAAATATTGTTCCTTTTCTTACATGAAAATGCATAATGCAAATATAGATATATACACACATTCATATATCAATGCTTGATTTGAATATTAAAATCCATCAGACAATAGTATTGATTTAATTTTGCAGTTAGTGACATATATTCTATAAAAGGATTCTGGAATGCTTCTCCTGATGTGGTAAATCTGAGAAAGGTGTTCCTCTGATTTTTCCTAAGTACCTAAAGGCACAAGATATGTTATAACATATATGTTTCATTGTGTAAACTAGGTATTTGGAAATATGTGTATGTGTGTTTTAAGACTATCTTACCAGCTATTACTATCATTTGCCAAAGAATGTTTTATTCAACCATAGATTGTCTGGAAGATCAGACTCACATAAATTATTATGAGCACCTTTCCAGTTCCATATTCTTAGTAGAGTTAGGATACTATATACTGTACACAGATGGGCCAAGGAAATTCAGTCTGGGTCTGGGCTGTTATTTTGAAAGTCCAGAGGGTCACTTTTGATAATGCTCAGGGGTATCAGGTCCTAGAGATGGGTACATTATCTGAATGGCCATGGAGTCTGATAGATAGCAGTCTTAGTTGATTAATTTAGTCTGAGTCAATGTTTTAGTAACTGAAAATATCTAAAATCTATATCCCCTCCATAGGATAGTGACAAATCTTTCAGTGTGTCTTCCAAGAATATACTCTCCCTTTTACGAGCAATAGCCTCACCCCTGTGACTGTTACCGGTGTTCTTACCACATGATGCCATACACTGGCATCATGAAATAGAGAGGGATGAAATTTGGAGGTGGATAATTCAGATTTTTTTTTCCTCCTGAGAACTTATAGTTGAGATACAGAAAAAAGAAAAAAAAAATCTGTCTTTAGTCTGACTGTGGTTGGACCAAACACTTGAAAATATAATCCTGAGTTGTGGCTAAGTACATTGAAAAGTTGAGAAAGCTGGTTTGCAAAAAGAAAGAACAAAACAACGCACAAAGAATGAGATGCAAGTGGCTATGTGATAAGTGAAGGAAAATGAGCATGGGCATAGCAATTCTGATTTTGAATGGCTTTCAGATAAAAGGAGTCCTTCCAACAGCTTATCTGTAGATTCTGAAAGATATTTCAGATCCTTAGATTCTGAAAGCTATTTCTATTTCACCTTGCTACTATTAAATGAACTCAAAGGCAAAACAAAACAAAACCCTAGTTTAATACTTATTACTTGCAACTAAACCAAACCAAACCAAGCAAAACCCCTCTTCCTAAAATATTAACTTACCTGCAGAGAATCGTTTTGGTTTCCAGTAGAAAAAAATCCACAAGAAACAGGTATACTCAATGTCCATATGACCAGCACTTAACTTTCAGGCAGAAAACCCACATGTGATTTGGATACTTCTTGAATGGAATTAGAAAAAGGCAAAGAGGCCACACATCTGATGTGTTCATTCATTCACTACACGTATACACGTATATCCAAGGGCCACCATGTTCAGGGAGAAGGGGAGAAGGAGTTATTGGTGGAATGAGTCCTAATCCTGCTACCTACCTGACTTGGGTAAAATACACAAGGCTCAATTAACTCAAATTTTCATTGTTAGGGAGAATAAATGAGAGAATGCACATGACCACACTTTGCAGAGTACTTGAAAAATAGTAAAAGCTCAATATTTAACTAGTTTTATTATTACTACTTACTAAAATTTCTTTTCTCCTAGAATGTTTGGGACCCTGACAGTTTGCCTTTGAGACTGCCTTTATTTAGGCTTCCAATAAGGATCTATTTTTGCTTCAAAAAGGCTAATAAAGTCTAAAACATATCCAGGTAATCGTGACCTAAGAGCAGTGTGCCTGCCTCATGTATCTTTGCAAATCTGTTATGACAGACTCTGTGTTGCATTTGAACTCTAAGCTTCAAAGAAAAATCTGTTTCTCTCATCCACATGTTCTTTGGATAACTTCAAAATCTCTCTCAAGCTCTCATTGCTAAGACTTGCTAACAGAGAATTAAAAAGAGGAAGGCACAGGTGTACAGAGGTGATCACAATAGTTCACAATTCAGGGTTCATTTTTAGAATATTTTCTCTTTAACTTTGAAACTTGAAAGCCGTTGGATTGTGACCCTTTAATAGCAAGGACCATTTCCTCTTTGTCTTCATTCCTCACAGCATCTAGTGCAGCATCTTGCACAGGGTAGACACCCAATCAGGGCTGCCCATGTGAATATAAAAGGGCAAGAGTCAAAATTGCATTTAAGATCTCGCAATAAGCCATAGTTTCGAGTTAGATAAAGCACTGAGTAGTATATAGAATTGTTGAAACTTTATACTGTACATCTGAAACAAATGTAGAGAAAGACCCTGGATAATCATATTGTTTAAAAAATCATGATCTCAGAGTCCTGGGATCGAGCCCTGCATCAGGCTCTGTGCTTAGTGGGGAGTCTGATTGAGATTCCCTCTCTCCCTCTCCCTCTGCCCCCATGCCCACCCTGCTCTCGCGCACGTGCTCTCTCTCTCTCCCTTTCACACTCTCCCGTTTTTTTCTAAAATAAATAAATCTTAAATAAAAAGATGATTAGAATAGTTTCCAATGAAGTTATATCATTCTGAATTCTAGCCATTGAGATTTTTTTTAAAAAAAATTGTTTTAAGTGAGAAATTCAGCATCTGGTAAGAAGAAAAGGTTTTCCTCTAAACCCTTTGACCTACTTATCTGCCCTTAAACTAAAGTCGCACTGTGTCTTGTCTTCTCACCTGGCAGCCTATTGGCAATTCAGAGTTATTTTCACTGTAAGAGATTTGTCACACTGATGTTATGAAGAGATAGAAAAGGGAATGATTGCCTTATTGCTGCTGCCCCTCAAACATTTTGATTTTTACTTTCACAGCTTCCGTATGGCTGAAGTATCTCCCAAAGGCACTGAAGTGACCTTCCCCAGCAAGTTAAGATTCAGTGCTTTACGGCGTGCTGTTTTTTTTTTTTTTTTTTCTGCTCCAGAGGAAGTCACAGTCAGGCCAGGTTGTTGGAATTTGCTGGTCCTGCAGGGACTTGTATGGTTATAAAAATGGAGCAGACTTATTCTCAAATTTGAACATTTCCTAACAATTTAAACTTCTGTTCACTGACCTGAAGAAAAGAATCACTTCTTGATATTTGGTTCTAAATTTTCATCTGCAAAGTAATATTTAAAGGTTAATAGGAAAACATAGGGTACGGGTAAAGCAATGCATGATTCAATCCATTTTGAACACCTTCCCTGGGATTTTTCTTCTGGTGTGTGCTTCAATCTCATTGTACTGTTATTATTTTGTTTAGCCATTTTGAGGATGAGAAGAATGCAAGAACATACAATTTCCTCCTATAGAACCTCCCCACTGCCCAAAAGTACCTGCCCCCGGAGAAGTACACGTATATGTCTAGCTAATCATGGAAATGTATTGTTTTGACATTTCATATTCAAAGCCACAATTTGAATAGAATTAAACTGAAGTTTTTGTCCATTATTGAGTTTGAGGCAGATTCTGGATAAAATCATCATTTCTAGTGTCTCAGCCAATGCCATTTTCATAAACCTTGCCCAGTGAAGTTCAAATCTTTCCTTTCCTTTCCATCTTCTGCCATCTGTAAGGTTGATGGCTGTCTATTGAGCCAGTCAATCTTGAGGGTGTGTGAAAAATACTACAACTTTAATGTTTCTGCTCTATGTCAATATAATTGTCATCTCAATATAATTATGAGAAAAAAAGAGTTAAAAAACTAGATTACAGTAGAGAAATGCATCTAATATCAGAGATTTCATTTTATAATTGTCAATTATGCTTTGTAAATCAATAAAAAGAATGTTCCTTTACTGCCCTGTGTTTGTAATCACTAAAAATTCCATTTTGTAAAACAACAACAACAATAACTCTAAGGCAACCATTTTAAGCCAAGGTGGT